CACCCACACCCACACCCACACCCACACCCACCCACACCCACACCCACACCCACACCCTCTTGTTTTTCAATATTATCTTTTAGTATACCATCTCTTCTTCTTTTTAAGATCTCTATTTTTTTTTTCAATATTCTAAAATTTTGATAATTTATCTCTTAAAAACTATCAAGAAAACTTGTCATGTACACTCTCATGTTTATTTATCTGTATTGTTCTTTTTGCAGAGGAGCCAATGTCCTTTATTGGTAAAGGAAAGTGCAAGTCTGGTTTTTACTTGTTTCTGTACATATGCCTTTCAATCTGTTTTTGGGCAAAACCAGCGTTACGGAATTTCATTTTTTTACATTGTAACAACTATATCTCCTCGTAGATGAAAGCAAACTCTCTGAAATTTTTACCATAGATGGAGACTATGATGGCCTACTATCAGTAAAAATTTCGTTCATTTTTGTTTGGTCAAATCCGAGTTATTCAAAAAACATTGACCGTTACGTAATTTCAAAAATGGAAATTTTTTTTAGGGTGAGCTGAAAGTTTAGCAGTTTGCTACGAAACGAAGCAACATGCAAATAAACGTTCTATATAAAAGTTGCTCAGTGTTCCACAAGCTTTTAGAATATCAAGTTCTTTTTTAACAAACCTAAGTGCATTGAATAAAAAACTAAAAATGCTGTTCGTTACGGAATTTCACCCTTTTTACAAAAATCGAAGTTCGGACTAGGATAAAAGCAAAAAAAATCAAAAACAACCATATAACCCTCCCCAACATCCGATTCTGCATCAAATGGTATAGTTTTTACTAGAATCCGGTGAAAAAAAATTGTTACTTTTTCGACCAGGGAAATTTTCGAAAAGAATCAAAGTTTAAATTTTGAAAAACTAAACAGTCCATTTTGTTCAAAATTCTATGCTAATTCCAAATATAACAAAATATATGTATATTTATGAACAAAAACAGCATAAAACATTCAATAGTTTAAAAACATCGCGATTTTCGGATACTAATGAAATTCCGTAACGCAGTATTTATAGGGAACAGATGAGAAAAGTAAATCAAACTACACTGAAAATGAGTGTATTCGATAGAGCTCGTTGAGTTCTATCTGGAAGTATCGTCTATATTGCGACAATTAGTAACATAAGGAAGCAAAACACATTATAAGCAAGTTTCGTTACTGAATTTCATTAAAAATACAGATGGTTTGTGGGAACATTATCTTGTTTCGTAGATATCTAACATTTATATCAAGGCTATGTGTTGAAAGAGTGCTTCATATTCTATCGATTCATATCTAATTGAAGAATTTTTATTCTACTCATTCGTGTTTATTTAAAGACGCATTTCATTCCTATCTTTCACATAAATTTTCGAGTTGTTTATCCTAAGAAAAATTTCGTGTGTCTGAGAAATTTAAAGCTGCTCAGGAACAGAAACGTTCCCATTTCATACACTATTGATCATGCTCTTTTCAATGGTAAACTCAGCTTTCTCTACTTTTGAGTTCGAACCTTCCCTATGCATAGGTGACCGATGGCTGGTTTTGACCATATCAGCGATCAGATATGTAGTCAAAAATGGTAACAGTTTGAGATTTGCCATGACCTCAGCCACACCCACACCCACACCCACACCCACACACCCACACACCCACACACCCACGCCCACACCCACACCCACACCCACACCCACACCCACACCCACACCCACACCCCACACCCTTCTCAATGTCAGAAAAAGTCAACAGAACGGAAAAAAACTCTATTAAATAAATTGGATATCAGAATATCATGGTTTTGCTATATGCTAATAAAAATTCATATCCTTGTTTTCAAGTAGTTCTATTATATTAAGAATTCGGTGATCGACATTACTATAGACACGAATATCATTTGTTTGTTTAGCTTCCATACCATGATTTATCCAACGAAATAACAGTTGAGGGATGTCGATGTCTTAATATTTGTATAAGTCGACAAACATTGGATGACATTGAGCAAAGAACATACTGTGAGTTGATCAACATTTGTAGCTCACTCATCAATAAACGTGTTTCAAACGATTTTTCTCTCGATGATAAACGATTGAATTGCGATTGAAAATGACCACGTTGTCGAGTAGTGTTATAACTAATTTTGTATATACTAACAAAATTCCACATTGGTTTTAAATGACGTAATTCTTCGATCACTAAAGGATCGTCTGAGGAGACAAATATGTGTTCACTTTTATTCTTTATTAATTTTCTTTGTTCAATTATTTTAATATAATTTTGTAATGGTATTAGACGAGCTTCTTTGACTAATTTATCTCCTCTACGAATATGTACACCGATGTAGTTCGATATATTTGATATTATATGGTTTTGAATGAATAACGATGTTTCTTCAGTCATATGTTGCCATAAATAATGTGCTACGCGACGTTTTATTTCAATGGATTGCAAATGTCGTGTAGCTTGCCAAAACGTTCCCACTTGCGATCCCGTTCGAGTAGTTTTTAAATGTTCTATCTGGTCATTTTTACGACTAATCTCAGTAATAAATGTATAATTTGATAATGAATAAGGTAGATTTGTTTGAAGATTAAAATAGTCATTAAAGTTTCCGTAATTCCATTCTCGACTATCAATAAGAAAATGTCTTTTCGACGCTACACTATATGCAAATGCCAGTAATAATTGATTCAGTTCACTACCAAATCCAGCTCCTCCCCAAATAATATACAGAAATGTACGATTAATAGTTTCACGAGTCTGGCACATAGAAATGTGATCAAATGAACAAGATTGCCTTTTCAGTAAAGATGACGAACGAAGAATCAAATGTGGCCGGTATTGATTGAGTATCAGAATAATGAATGCTAATAAGAGTATAAGTCTAAGTGACTTTATTGGTTTTAACAATACCATTGGATATAAGAGAAAATTCTATTCGATGCTATATCGATATTGAAGACTGATTATTTTCATGTCTGAATATTCAAAATGGTATTATTTCGTTTACATATTTGTTTGACCTCTTTTTGTTATTGAAAATTATCAGTACCCAAGCAGACAAAAAATTGGAAAAACTTTTTTAAATACACAAAAGGGAACCGCGATTGTGAGTTATTAACGCTCATTAAAAAAGCGCAAGAAAACGCGCTTATTGGCGTTTTCTTTAACTTTCTGGACATGAAAACGGCGAAACCTCAAGCTTTTGAGCATTCAAACGCATCGTTTTTAAATTTTAGAATAAAAGCGCCTTTTAACGCTCAAAAGCTTAAGGTTTCGCCGTTTTCACGTCCAGAAAGTTAAAGAAAACGCGTTTTCTTGTGCTTTTTTAGTGAGCGTTAATAACTCACAATCGCGGTTGCCTTTTGTGTGTTTAAACGAGTTTTTCCAAAATTTTGTCTGCTTGGGTAGAACACTACGTCAAAAATATCAATCGTGATGCTCATCTTCATCCATCAACTTGTTCTACTGTACCAAGATCACTGCTTCAAGGTAAGTAATTATTTTTAATCAATCTGAAAATAACATAAAGTAAGTCATTTTCTCATAGACGTTGTGTTTTCATTAACATAAAATACTTGTTGTTTGTTCTAAGGCAATGAGACGCATACACTGCCTGATTACTCTTCTGAAAACGTATTCTTTTTTTATTTATACATATGAGTCAT